AAAAACAAAAAAAAAAAAAAAAAAATTACAAATAAATTTTAAAAAAAAAATTTTTTTTGGGGCCCCCCCCCCCCCCCCCCCCTAAATCCGTCCCTGATAAGAACTGAGGATAAAGCAATGTACGTGTCAACACATTGTCACTAAGGTGATAAAGATAACTAATGTTTTAGAAATATATATAGAAAAACGAGACGTTATTTTCAGTCTCTTTTTATTTATTTGTTGATTATTTTGATTAGGGTTGAACAAAACTCTCGAACCGATCCATTCGAACTGGATCTGAATCGAATCGAGCGATTATTTTTAAATTAAATATTTAAACGAGTATTTAAATCGAGAACCAATAAAAACGGAGGTTAAAGCAAAGTATGTGTCAAACACATTGTCACTAAGGAGATAATGATAGCTAATATTTTAGAAAAATATATAAAAAAACGAGACGTTATTTTCAATCTCTTTTTATTTATTTATTGATTCTTTCAATTAGGGTTGAACAAAACTCCTGAACCAAATCCAAATCGAATCTAGCGGTTCTTTTTAAATAAAATACTTGAAGGGGTATCTGAACCGAGAACCGACGAGTTTGGTTCTACATCAAGAGTCGAAGAACCAAATAAAAATCGGATTATCCCTAACTTTTTTTTTTAATCTTAAATAAGTCAAATTATTTTATTTTTTTCTAAATAATTTTGCTAACTAATTAATTTAGGCCTAAGTCCAATTAATCAAATCGGCCTAAATTTTATCTAAATCTCTTATTCTACCATAGTGTCATTTCTATTTGAAGAAATCAAATTGAAAGCCCCTCTTTATTATTGTGAGCTCACTATTTTCCTCTTCCTATAATTTTAGCTGTCAAATCTTTGATAACTCAAAAAAGAGAGGCGCAAAAGATATCATGGGATTGTACTACGTTATTTTGTAATAGCTAAAATTGAACACATCATTAATTGAATTAATGTAACGTTGTTGTAAATATAACAAAAAAATTAATTATTGTACATAACTCCAGAACCGAATGGTATCGAACGGAACCATAAGCGAACGGTTTCATAATTAAATTTGGATATGACGGTTTTATTAATTAAATATTCGAAAATTCGGGTTCGGTTCGGTTCGATTCTCTGAACCGAATCGTACCATGTCCAATCCTACTTTCAATTATTTGATTATATAGAAATTACAGGATTACAATTTGCTAGAAATTATTTCTACTCGATGAAAAAATTCATGGCGAGAAGTTTGATCTTCAGATAACAGGAATACTTTCTAATGGTTGATCAAGAACTTGCACGATTAAAATGAAGTCATTTGTCAAATTATTTTAATTAATGAGAATTTTTGTAGAAACATAACCATATAATATTTCAGAAACTTGCACGTCTCTGAGTTTTTTGCGAATATTTTACATAAAATATAATGCTTTGTTTTACTCGTCTCTATCAAGACTATATTTCAGAATGTAGTTGGGATGGGATGATGACTCTTGGGAGGTATGACGGTGCCGTTTCCTTTAGAAAACTTTCGAGGGTCCCTCCCATTGGCCATACAGGTAGATTGATCCTTGTTATATGGTCCCTGACCTATGACATATGTAGCAAATTGGTGCCATGGACGTATAATTCCTCAATGCACGTTATGTTTTGAAAGTTAAATGACTAACCATGTAATTTTGACAAGAAATGGATAAGAGAGGAAAATTCGGACGAAACCATCCACTAGAACTACTGGTGCGAGGTTGAAGAGTAATCGTAGTTTTTATTACAGCAAGGGAATTTGCATGCTTAACAAGAATTACAACTGCATCGACTATAGGGATCAATTGGCTAACGAAGTCCGCAATTGAGGTTGCTACAGAATTAGTCCAGAATACCTTTACCGAAGTGCCTACATGGTTTTAGACACTAAGGGGGTGTTTGATGGTTATTGTTGAGGAAATAATTTATTTTAAATAGTGATATGATGGGAAATATGTGGTTAAAAAGTAAAAGAAAAGTTATTAATGTGATAAAAATTATTATTTTATTGGAAAATTTGTAGTTGAAAATGAATTTTGAAAAAATGTGTGTCAACATGGGTTAAATATTTTCCTTGTTTGGTGGCTTTTTTTTTTTTTTGGAAAAACATTATTTTGAATAGTGAATTTTTGAAGAATGTGTAGTTGAAAATGAGTAAGTAAAAATTTTAAAACGGGAAACAAATATGGGTGTAAGTGTTTATGGGTACATGAATAGAATTGTTTGACATCAAGGGGTGGTGGCGCAGTTGGCTAGCGCGTAGGTCTCATAGCTTTCTGAGAGTAATCCTGAGGTCGAGAGTTCGAGCCTCTCTCACCCCATTTTCTTTTATTTTTCCTTTTTTTGTCTTTTCTTCTTTTATTGTTTTCCTGATTATTTCCATATCTTTTTTTACTGTCGGAATTTCCAAAAAGCCCTATGCAATTTTTACACAACATTCAAAAAATTTGATTCTCACTTGCGTTTAAGAATGAGTTTGAGTTCAACTCGAGCACACTCGTTTAATATTAATGAAATGACACTTAAATCTCACCACCATTGGAATATCTTTTAGGCTGATCAACAGTCGAGAAGATAAGTTATAGTATATTATCTTGCACTTAGCAGGATAAAAAGGGACTTGGCCTCCTCTAACACCTAGAGTCTTGGTCTAAATGAGTGAGAACGACAGTTTAACTGAAAACATGATACTGATGTATCCCAGAAACTCAAAGGCAAAACCAATAGCAAAAAATCTGAATATACAAACAAGAAAAGTTGTGTTTTTGCCTGGATTCTAAGTTTATTATTATCTTTTTTCTGCAATTTAATTCCAAAAAAGGAAACCAAAGGTTTAATTACAAATCTGACATCTAAACATATACTAGGCTGTTTCTGAAACAAAAATAATCCCACCTCAATTCTTACATATAGCTTCTTACTCCAATAAAACTTCAATGGCACGAACAATCCGTTAATAACAGCTGAAGCTTCGGAATATAATGTTGGGCAGAAATTTCCTCGGAAAAGCAATTTTAACACGAAGATTGTGAATGTGCTTTCAAAGGAGTTCTACTGGCCCCTCTGAGTCTATCAGGAAATCATCCAATGTCGCAAGAGATTTTAGCTGCCGACTGAGAGAAGCAATTGTCTTTTGACACTCAGTGAATTTACTAGCAGCCACTGCCAATTCTCTATCCTGCAGTCAATGCATGCAATAGACACCATATGTGTTAAAAAATCAGCGAGTCAGATTCGAACAAAGCATATTTTCACAATTTTATAACAAACTAAAGACATGGTTAAGGGAATAAGTAAAATACATAAAATTATTTTTACACAATAATCCATTGGTTTTGAAATGAAAAAGCGATAGAAGTTCTTTTTGAGTCATCTACGATATGAACTAAATTACACCTGAGTGTTACTCAAACTTCTAACAAGTTTGTCGATTGAACTATATTAGGTAAACATGACCGACAGCATGTTTTGCTAAATTTAAAGAGTTTTCTTACAAGCAAGCAAGTTTCCAAATAAATATTTTTTCTATTGGTCAAAATTAGAAACGTGCAAGTTACTCATTTTGATGGTAAACTGTCAAATTATGGATGAATATATTTGAGGCCTTCTGTCATATATAAGACCACTGCATTGCATACGCACTAAACGACAGTGAACTTAGACCAACAGTATTTTTAGCAACTAACCTGATTGATTCTGAACTCTTCAATGCCAGCCGATCTCTGAAGCTGAGAATCCAGTTTCATTCTCGAAATCTCGTTTTCTAATGTCTGACACCTCAAAACAGCTTCCCCCGAAACACTTTTTTCTTTTTTAATCTCTTCTTCTAAAGTACCAATGCTCGAATGCAAGGCTTCGAACTCACGTTCTAGAGATTTGATTTGTAAGTCAACTTCTTGTTTATTTATATTGCTAGTTTTAAGTTCAGACTCCACCACACACTTTTCCTCATTTACAACTATTAACTGATTTTGAAGTTCGACCAGATTGACCTTGGCTTCTTCTAAATTCTTTGTTGATTTGGTAAGCTTTTCATTGGCAGCCTCGACTTCTAGTTCAGCCGCTCTCTTTGCTTCATTCACCATAGCAAGCTGAGTTTCCAGGTCCACCAACTTCAACTGTGTTTCCTTTAGTTGATCTCGGGACGTCTTAAGCTGTTTTTGGCACTCCTTTAGAGCCATCTCCAAACTTATTTTCTCTACTTCCACCTTCTCCAACTTTTCCTCAAGTTCAGCTGTCCGAGTCATCATGGTGTCCAGTTCAGCTTTTAAAGGTTGTTCCCCACCCCGGGCTTCTGTATCAGGGCAGCTTCCACTCTCTGTCTCAGGTAAGGCTGCAAACCTCTCCATTTCAAGAAAATCATCCATGAGATCAATCTCAACAGATGAAACCATATGATTTCTTTCCAGAGGTCTTTGTTGATCTATCTCGGCCACTAAAACTCGAGACTCAGGGTAGCAAAACCTACTGTCCACTGGTTTCAATCCATTTATCTTGCAATCGTCATTTTCAATAACCAATAGACTATCTACAATATCCGACTGACTATCTGCAAACGATTCTACATGAACTGTTGATGAAGTAACAGAATGAAGATCATTTGCATGCGATGCTTTGCGAGCCAATGCCTTTAGCCTGCGACACTCTGCCTCAAGCTTTGCTGTCTTTTTTATGCTATCAAGATGCTGTTTACTAGCAGTTTCTGCAGCACGGGTGCTTAAGTCTCTCTCACAGGTCATCAGTTTCAGTTCTTCAGCTTGAGAGTGGAGTTCTCTCTTAAGGATTGCATTCTCTTTCTCCATGGTTTCAAGCTTAATGACATCTGTTTTAGCACTTTGAAGTTGAGAACGGAGTTCGATAAGCTGGTTTTCAAGTTCCGACTTTGTCGATTCCCATTCACTACTTTTCTGGGCAACAGCATCATAAAGCTTTTGTTCTTGCTCTTCTCTTGCCTGTCGAAGTTGTCTCAAACACTCTTTAAGGGCTCCATCAAGTTGTCCAACACGTTGTTCAAGGACTGAGTTTTTCTGAGTTATGGCCTCAGTTTGTTTCTTCAGAACTAGCACTTCATTTTCAGCTCTCTCCCATCCTAGTATTTAAGTTCAAATGATTATCAAACTTTCATAAATAATGAATAGCCTAATTTGGATAAATCGACATGGCTTCATGTGCAAAAAGGCTCCTGAAATGCCTCATGGTAGATAAAAACTGGCATTCCAAATAACTTTACTTTTCATAAAAGTTAAGTTTCCCCTTACTGCAGAAATATTAGTGTCTAGCCTTTTCTGACATCATTACCTCATTCCCAACTATATTAGGAAACTATAAAATTCATACGCAGACTGTAATAGAAGTAAAGGGAAGGAAATCTGTTTTTCTTATTCTTTTCCTGGCCAATGCAACGTATGAAAATACAGTCAGATTAATGATTCAAAGGAATATTATATCTCTTCCATTAATGCACGAGAAAATGATTAAGTTGTCTATTTGGCACTATCCCGTAACCACCACTGCAACTAAAAGACAACTAAGCATATTATATGTTGAGTTCGACAATGAAAGAAAGCAATCAGAAATGTAGAAATATGTGTTCCCAAGGGGAGAAAAATATACTTGGTTAGTTAAAGAACCTTTGTACATAATATAATTCAGGAAGAACCAATTACTTGATGGTAATGTATCCCTTTGAGGATGAAAAAACTCATAAATATAATTCTAACTATATAGGATCGCAAGTATAAGCCGGTTGAGAATAATTAGAAGTTTTATGGACAAACTGTCTTTCACATACACATGCCCATGCACAAACACACACAAAGAGAGTGAATGAATACCCGAGACAGCTTCCTCCGCGACTTTGGCATGCTGCTTTACCAAGTCTTCCTTCGCACGAATGTTTAGAAGAGCTTCTGATAATTTCTCTGATAAGGTCTTCACACTTTCATTAAGTTCTTCATCGCTGGGTGCAGCTTTAGATATGACTTCTGGTGAGTGAGTGTTATGATTTGATGAGGCCTTTTACAACACCAAATATCATCAATTGTCAAAATTCCTCATCTCTTCTCCCAATCATCACATTTTTTAAAACTTCTAAAAAATTTAATTTAATTTTGCTGGGAGCCTTTGAAGAGAGGAGAGCAAGTTATGAAATATGAATGTAAATAGTACATCTCACGCCATGCATGGATGAATGTGCTCGCATGCACCATGTGTGTGTGTGAAAGAGAGAGTAGATCAATTAATGTAAAGGATTCATTTCATGATGACAAACAATTGAGATAAAGGCCATATTAATAGTTCAACGTCGATCTAGTCAAGTAAAATTGGCTTCAAATACAGAACGTGTCAACCCTAGACGGACCAAAAATCCTACCTGCAAGTTACTTCAGATTTCTTCACTCTTGTTTAGTCTCTACTTTGTATGCACTATTTCACCAGTAAGTTCAATGTAGAATTCTTAACATATTTATTTCAACTTGCTGGTTGTAAGTTGGTTTCTATCTCAAAAAATGGGAGTGGAGATTCCAAGAAATTCCACCATTCAGGTCGTTGGAGGCTTATGCACATGACTATTGACAAAGCTTTTTCATTGAGTCTTCGCACGTGACAACCAAAATAATTCTAGGAAAATAGAACCAATAACTAAATTTTCTTTTTTAGAACAACTAAACATGATGACAACTAGTAACTTGAATAACGGACCCCAATTTTGAAATTTTGGCTCTATTTGACTGGAAAAAAAAAATCCTTTTGCATTCGTACAAAGGTGCACTCACAGACACATATCTTTCACACTCTGGTGATCAGCAGAATAAGATTAGAACCTCACAATGTGTTAATAATTGAAGGCAGATGTCAATGGTCGTAGCTGGACAGGATGGTTTCCAGAGAAATAAAGATAGAGTCTGTCAGTAGTGGTCCAACTTCAGTGGATATCTAGACAGAGTGGTCCATTTTGATCCAATGACAAGCCACTATGCAAGTAGCATGCCTACCATCAATCTAGATTACAAGACTTTCGATGCGAACAAGACTCACGAGCATAATAATTTTATCATTCAGAACTCAAATTCCAACGATGAATGCAACACCAAAAGGCATGTTGCATAAAATGGATTATATACTACAAGGCAGTATAGGAAGGGGAAAAAAAAAAGCTAAGATCTTGTCATTTATTGTGTCTAGTTGGAGCTCTTGGTCCTTGAACAAATTTCATGTAGTCAAGCCTTCTTGGCTGGAAGCCCTCCAGCCCATTTTAATAAATTTATACATAACCACAGCCACCTGTCTTGTTACAAGATCAATTTCCAGAATTTCTTATTTGTTGATAATCTTCCCTTTTGGCTCCCAAGAGAAAAGGAATGCGGCGAAATCTTGTTGCTTCAAGTTCTCAAAATTTGAATAAACACACTTTAGACAATGGTAGGACAATTTTTTAGTCTGCAAGTTTCAGATTTTTCTCTACTCAAGGTCCAAGGAAAAGCCATAAATTCGATTTTAGGAAAATGTTCAATAAGAGTAGGTTCAGTTTGGGATTAGTCTATAGTAATCTGCAAGCCTTAACCTAATTTTCTTGAAAAAGGATTTTTTTGCCAGTCATGACCATCGTCAACGAGATATACAAAAATAAACCTCAGAAAACACAAACTTGCATATAAAACTGGAACAATAAGCTCAGTCTGAGTACTCAATTAAGTATGCATTTTTTAACATAGTACTACTCCCTTTGTCCACGATTTTTTTTTCCCCACACAGATTAAGAAAATGTAATTAATGTGGTTGGAAATATAGTTTTTTCTTACATTTTTCCTAATATATCCCTACATTACATAATGATTTAAATTTGAGTGCTTCATATTTGTTGATAACAAGGCACGTTAAATAGGGGTATATTAGAAAACTAAGAAATCAATTATACTCTCAACAAAGAAAGTGAATTATCATTTGGGATGGACGAGAAAGGAAAGCGAACCTATCTTTATGGGACGGAAGTGGTAAAATATAACATATATGTCGAAGAATTTGTCAGTTCATAGAAATTAAGACATTCAATTACAAGAAGGCAATTAATGGAAGTATTTACAAGATCAAGCTGAAACAAACAAACCTGATCATCAGAAAATCTTTCTGAATGTGATGATATTGATCCTGAGCTTTCTGTTTCACCATTGGGACTTTTCTCAGATGATTTCCGGCGCCACAGCCAACTCCTCCGGTCCATCTAATGGACACACCGATAATCATACATTTCTTACACACACTTCATCTGTATTTTCAACCTCAATTCAGCAACCTTAATTACATCAAATATCAAAGGATATTAGGGATGCACAAAAGCCTAAACACATAATCCCAACTCAACACAGGTTTTGAACAACCTATCTAATATGCTGTAATTTACTCTCAAATCAACATATAAATCAAACCCACTAGAAACCTAAATTCAATTCAAACTTTCAAGAAAAAGGGTCCAAAGACACCCAAATTCAATTCAACATTTCAAGAAAAGGGTCCAAAAAAGCGATTTTTTTTTCTCAACAAGATCAACTATTAATTAAAGAGAATAAGAAGGGGAAGGGGAAGGGGATAATTTCTGGTGAAGAATCAACCTTTGCTTAGAATTCAATCCTCTACCAACCAATTTTCAAGAAACAGTTGGAACTTTTTGAAGCCCCCAAATGGAATACCATTGTGTAAAATGAAAGCGAATCAATTTCGGAAATGAGAAAACTTCTTGCAACTAATCTGATGGGTACCTTTCAATTCCCCATAACTATCAGACAGAGAGAGAGAGGGAGAGAGAAAGAGGAGGGCACATTTTATCCGTGAAATTTAGAATTATACACTCGCATTAATAAAAGTTGAAAAATATCTCAGAAAAAAATAATCATGACCTACTTGTGATCTATCTTCCGAAACACAGAAACCCACCAAAAAAAAGACACCCTGCAAAAAGAGCCATCACTGCATAAAAAAGCACCTTTCCCTCACATGCATAGTAGCATCATACAAGTACTAACTATACAGTGTGTTTTGTCTTGCTTAAGTCGTAATTAATACCAACGCGCGTCTTCTAAGCAAGATCTTAAACCGGACATAAATCTGCAATGTACAGAGATCCAATAATTGCCAGCAGAATTGCAGAAAACAGAGGGAATAGAAGCAGAGGAATAATAATTAATATATATGAGTTGAAGAAGAAAAGAGCAAAATTTGAGATACTATAGATTGTTGGTGAGCAATTGCATTATTATATTATATATAGAGTAATTGTCTTCATTCATCTTTGGTGAGGTGGGGAGGCGTGTCAAGTGAAGACAGAGACAGAATTATTTGGTTTTTTTCAAACCAAGATTGCGATATTCGCGCGCCTAATATGCGGTGAATTTGCGAAGAAATCTGGGAATCACGCCCAAGAACACCCGCTGAAATGATTAAAATCCTCTTGACCTTTGTGAATCTCATCGTACAAATTTGATATGGATTGCTGCTTTGAATTATGAGATAATTAATACCAAGTTCATATTTGGCCATGTTTGGTAATCAGATTTTTAAATAAATTTTAATAAAAGTTCATGACATATGTGATTGTAATTAATGACTGACTTTAACTTAAAATAAAATTTGATTTTAATCAATACCAAACAAGGTTTACAATAAAGAATCAATTTTTGATAGATTTTAATAAGAATTGATTGGGAACCATTGTGTATCAAAATTTTAACCAAATTCATGCCGTTATTCATGTTTGACGATGCATGGAGCCACAATTGTTGACTGAATTTTTTAAAATTATCCCTTTAACATAAAATTTATCCTTCTTAAAAAATGACATTTTTGATAATTTGATTCATGTTCATTAATGCACAAATGGGACCCCCTAACTTTTCCAATAGTAAAAAAATTGGCTTAAAATCTTGACAAAATCCCTCCCAAGTGTTGAATGTATGATTGAAAAGTAAATAAAAATTGTAAGTCTCACTAATTGAAAATAATTTTAAAGAATAAAGATTTTAGAAAATGGGTCGTACATGGACTAAGTGTACAGGGACGAAAACCAATATGTCATGATATCTTGCTATTTTTGTTGGTCGGCTCATATATGCTTGTGATGTTGAGAAACACGAGGTTTACCCCGACCTCTCACTAGCGCTGATTATTAAATTTGCTTCCTGAAGGGGACAATTGATAATTAGATACTTCAATAGTAGTATAGAATAGGGTCAGCGGTCTAATTGGCGCAAAACCCTCCTAACATTTGTCTCTATTACATAATACCTCATATTATTTTAGATTGACGGAAAATCCCCTTATATGATCTTTGAGGTGCAGAAGATCCCATTGTCGTCAATCCCCATTAATGTTGTCGTTAAATCTACATAAAAAGGGTCAAAATGAATAATTATAAATTGGCGCAAATCCTCCTTGGCATTTTTCCTTTACTGCGGAATACCACTATCTTTTCATATTAGCGGAAAAACTTCCTAGATGACGTTTTAAGTGCGAGATACAACATTGTCTCAATAAAGTATTGTGAAATGACGAATATACTCCTCTCTTAAATAAAACAAAATAAAAGGAAGAAAACAATTAAAGAATTAATTGCAGCAATAGTACCAAATTTTCATAAAAGTATAAATGAGTCTCAAATAAATAATTATAAAATTAAAAGTTATTTTATTTTTATGTCTTTAATATTGAGATTGAATGTAAATAAATGGTGTTATTAAACTAGTTTTAATTAAAATAAATTTTCAATTTGGCAATGCTACCTTTCTCATTTTTAATGCGTCTTTGAATAAGTGGGATTTTAATTTAGAAATTTATTTTATTATACTTAAAATACTATTGAATTTAATGTTTTAATTTGAATTAGTCTAGGTAGTTAGATGATCATGTCCATGTATTTTTCTAATTATTAGGCATCATGTCGGTGGATTATACTTGAGAGTTGATACCTCTATTAAAAAGGCTTAAGTCAAGGATCCAACGAATAGAGTTTGCATTGAGAGGTTATCCTCGAATTATCAAAATATCTTCGAATTAATCTATAATTCCTTTTTTATTTACTTTTCGATTTTTATTTTATTTATTTATTTTGTTATGAACATGAATCGAGCAATCCATCATCGGTGGAACGTTTGGATAAAGAGGTGAAACTATATCTATCCGTCAAAGAGAATTTTGTTGTTGTCAAGAAGAATTTCAATACAGGATAAACGAGTTCTTTGAGTTGTTAAACGCAAATTTACAATATTTATGGAACGATCAAGATATTAAAGTAACTTTTTAGGAGGAATATTATTCTATCTCACGAAATGTATGATTAATAAATAGATAGTAGTAGTGAATACATGATTGATATTTAGGGCTTGTTTGAACTTCATTTTTGTCCAAAAAAAAAAAAAAGTTTTTTTTGAATAGTTTATTGATAGGGAACGTGTGGTTAAAAAATAAGAAGTTTTGGGTTTGGGTGTAATTTATTGAAGAATGCGTGTTTGAAAATTGGATCGAGACATTATTCAAGAATTATTTTTTTCAAAAATTGGGGTTCAAACATGGGCTAATATTTGACTTTAATTGAATAGAAAAATATAATTTTCAATATTCGACAAATCGAGACGATAATTTTTCATCATAACACTTACCAATTCGAAATCAAGACATTCCCATTTTTAATCTTAGAAATTTAGTTTTATTAGTCTTTTTATTTTTTACAATTACATCGTATCCAATGTTTTAAATTGTAAATTCTAGGTAGTAAGATGCTCGCGTCCGTGTATTTTGTTAATTATTAAGAGTTAATTGGGCGGTTAATTAGTTTTTGTGAATTACCAATATCATTTTGGAGGTTCCAATTTCTTCGAATTAATTCTCATTTCTTATTTTTCTTTGCCATTTTTTTATTTTTATTTTTTGTTTACTAAGTATATGTGTTCATAGCAAAAAATAAAACAGAGACTAATTTATAAAAGAATCCACTTCCTTAATTTGTAAAATTTTGCACAATTTTGCACCAAGTTTTGCATCAAACTGAAAGTCATCTCCAACCTATTACATCAAAAGTTACACCAGATAAACAGTGTCTAATCGTTTTCTTCATTTTTTTAATGCTTAGCAATTTATATATTTGAAATTTTATTTATTTTATAACTACATAAATTATTAACTAAATAATTAAGTTAAAGAATATTAAATTCAACAAAAATGGACACAAATACCCTTAACCTTTTTTTTTCAAAGTGAAAGAGAAGGGTAAAATTGTATTTAACCATTTTGGTGTAAAATGGCGCCAATGAATAGTCTTGCACAAAGTATGATCCTAGATTGGAGAGAGTTCGCACCATTTTTTGGTGCAAAACGGTGTTTCGGAGATAGCATTAAATAAAATCTCTTGTGATAATTGCCTTTGAATCTCGTGCTAGCCTCTTTCTTATGGTGAAAAGTAGGATTTGATATGTTATATCTCTTGTTTACGCCGTTTCTCTCTCAAGAAATATGTTAAATTTGATTTTTATAATAATTTGGACAAAACCAGGAAATTACGCCATTCAGGCCTAGGAATGGCATGTGCGCGCGCGCTGTTCATTGAGTTTGTTCTCAATAGATGAAAGTCATGGCCATGCCGCGAGAGAATTTGCCCGTGTGCCCGTGCTGTCAGAAAAATTTTCATTTGTTGCTTTTTGGTGCCCGAATTCCATTCCTTATTTATTTTCGTTCCTTCTTTGTATTTTCTTGAACCTCCGTCTTCCAAATCCAACTAATTGACTCCAACATCTCTCCAATCGTTGATACTATGTCCGAGTCATCCATTAGCATTTTACGTTTAGTCCCCAAACTTTGGATTAGCTCCACTTTAGCCAATTTTTTGCCACTTTTCTTCAATTCCATTGTTTTTCATCAAGATGCACATAACAAGCAAAATATATACAAAATTAAGCCTCAATTCATTTAAAATAGAAATCATTGCTCTAGTTTAACGGTATGGATAAGTGTATAAAATACACTTATCAAATACCCTCAAACTTGAACAATTATTTATTCTCAATCAAAAATAAAGCTACACAAAATTTTATAAATAACTTGGTTGGATAATCAGCATTTAGCCTCAGGATTGGACTTTTAGAGTTGAAACTATAAACTACTTCAAAATCACAATGTTAAATCAATTTCTAAATATTCAATGCAAAACTAACGTGTGTGTGAAGATTCATGTGAAGT